CAGTATTAGTATTTTGTTGATTTAAACCAGAACTCGATGGGGTCACAAACTTTTGTCACAATTACATGACATACCATGATGTTCATTTTTTAAATCCTCACTTATCCTCATGTGGTATTTCTTTTTTCTTTTAAGGGTAGCAKCTTTTATGGCTGCTGGACCCGGGGCACCTGTTCTCCAAGTCTGCAGTGTTTCGTCTAGGGGTGCACCGATAAATCGGCCAGACYATATCRTTACTTTTGGGAGATCGGAGATCGTCCGATCCTTACATAAGATCGTCAGAAAATGTTGGCTTTTCTGCCTCCACATAGGACTGAAAATCAACCACTATCCTCTTTTGCTCAGCTGTGAGCACTACCTAATGTCCAGTTAAAACAAGTTTGTATTGTTTCAAGGGTATCGTTCAAAGTATTTCAGTAAAATAACATTTGAACATCAAAGTTTTATTGTGACTTTCTGTCAATGTGAATTATTTAAAAGATCAGTATCGGCCAAAATCGGAATCGGCAGGTCAGACTTTTTAAAGATCGCCAAAAACCTGGAATTGGTGCATCCCTAGTTTTGTCTATATTTCTTGAATGGGTTCTCCAAACTGTAATTTCCCTTTATGGGATCAATAAAGTATAATTCACTCAATTGTTTTGTGGGTCTGGAGCTAAAGTGGTGGGATCTTTATAACATATTTTATGAAAATAAAAAATACGCTTTAAATCTTAGAGGTTTAAAAGTTGTAGTTATTCTTTACGAACGTGTATTCAACAGATTGTCCATAAACAACTTCACCTCAACAAGACTGTTGATGATGACCGTTTTTGAGCATATGGCTCAAGCAACTAATCAAAGAAGTCTTCTGATGAACACACCGTGGCCATTAGATGATCAAGCTTGCCTACTTTGATTTATTGACCAACGTCTAACCTTGTTCAGTGAATTTGCTTGTAAGCRGACAGAAGGCCACGTGCAGGGGGAAACATTAATCAATGACATCCGTCTCATTACGACGGCTCTAAATAGCATTGTAAGAGCGAGAAAGATGATCTAATAAAGAGACTCCATTTTCATAGCTGCTAGAGCCCACGGGATTGCTTCATTTTTCAAGCTGTTGTCACCTGCGCGCTACCCTGAAAATAATTCGATAGAAACGRGGGCTGCCAGGCACGCCTAAAAGATTACGCTTGTAGGTTCGTGGGGCAAAACATCTGTTGTACCTGCGCACCTGCTAAAAGGTGTATAAATCAGAAAGAGGGAATGAAATGTGGTGCTGTCAGGATATGAACGGCACAGTGCAGATTTGGCAAGTGAGTGAAAAGTTCATCAGTAACTCAACGTTTCCGGATCGAGTTATAGACTAACTGTGGAAGGTTATGAACTGGAAGACTTGAGCTTAACAATAAACAGCGGGGAAGGAGCTACAGACATTAGCAACACAATTCATGCTTGGTTAAAAAAATCTTTAACTATATAAACTGTATGAGTTAAACTAAAGGTACAAGATTAAGACAAATACTTAAAATACATTTTCATAAACATTTCGTTTATTTATACTGTACTATACTGCTATCTGTATATAGTGTCTGTCGATGTGTGTGTGTGTATATGTATATGGTTAATATACATATGTGTATATGTGCATCGTTATATATTGTATGTGTATAGTGGGGTTTTTTTTTTTTCGTTTTATTTTATCTTCTTTATTTTATCTCACCCTCTCTTGTACTGAGCTGCAGTAACGTGCAAATTTCCACTGTGGTATCAATAAAGTTTTATCTTATCTTATCTTTTCTTATCTAAAATCATCCTTTTGGCAACTTTCATTAGTTTTTAAGCAAAATCAAAGAATATTATAGAATATTAGAATATACCAATACAAAGCCACAATAATAAAAACACTAAAAGATGTATGATAAGTTTTAAACAAATTTAGCCATAAAATAGTGAAAACGCTCCAGAACTTTGACGTCATCCTGAGTAAAAATAGAACCACTTGAGTAATTATTGGAAGATGAATACATGCTTTGGGTTTTATGGATCTCAAAGAGTTGGACCAACACTAATTATACCCAGTTAACCCAGATTTTAACCACAGCAAAACAAAACCAGGAAATCACAACAATGTTAGTCTTTTATGAAGCAAATTCAAATATGAGGAAGAGTTAGAAATAAACATCATTACCAAAGTTCATCAAGTACACAAGTATCTTTTGGTGAATCACCGGTCTTACAAAAACAAAATGAGACACAGCTGACTTCACTAAGGGATGACATGACTTATGATTTTGWGCTGACACTAAGGTTATCTATGTGACTACAAGTGGTCAATAATGTTGGTGAAATATGCCTCTAAGGAAGAAAAGCGGGATGAAAATTATGTTGGACTGCCAACTTTCAACCAAGACACGGCTCATTTAAGGTCCTTAAAAGGTTCTAACAATTTCATCACTTTTATTACTTTCCACTGAAAAAATAGGCTTGGAAGGTTATTGATAGTAAACTATATACTGTTACAGGTTAAATAAAGGTTTTATTTGTGTTTGACATGGATGCTGCCTCATACAAAACAATATCTAGTTTTGACTTTCCATTCCATAAACCATGTATTCATGCTTCCAGACATTTCTTATATAATTTCAGTGATATAACTACTACATGAAGTTTGTCTAATTTCAAATTGGAAGGCATTTTTTGAAATACTTTCTTTTTATTCAAATTTGTTTTGGGCCATTAATAGTTTGGACTATTGATATTTAATATAACATATTTGTGAAACAGTTTAATAAAAAGCTAAGTTTGTGCATCAAAATATTGTCTCGTTTGAATACAGTGACATTTAATTTTAGTGGCACATGAAACCAAACAAAGCAACTAGACGTGGGCGGCTGTAGTTGAGTGGTTAGGAGAGTTGTTTCTCTAATGCAAGATTTGGTGGTTCGATTCCATCGCTATTTGGTCACACGTCGATGTGTCCCTGGACTAAGCCCCCGCTGCTTCTGATGTGTGTCCATCAGTGTAGGATTGTGATTTAAAAGCACTGATTAGTCTCTATAGATTGATTTACTTGTATTAGCTTTGCAGAGAGATCTAGCAGAGTGCAGAATGTGTGTGAATGGGCAAATGAGAGCTCATATTGTGTTGTAGAGTGATTTGAGTATCCTGGCTGCATACAAAGGTACTATACAAGTATAGTCCATTTACCATTTACATTTTATTAGACTATAAATGTTCTCYTTGAGCTCAGTATCACATTAACATAATAATAAAGAGGGGGATCAAACAGCTGTGCTATCATCTGTTTAAAGATTGACTTTCATTACATTTAAGTGACACAAATGAGACAAAACAAAGAATTGTGCAATTGTCACTGTGCACGCTTATGATCATTCAAATAAATGTCATCTGTCAAGCTTTCTCAAAACCATGTGCTTTCAAAAAGGTCTCCAAATGTTAGAACTGACATGAAAAGCTCATCAAATGCCAGTAAAGATATTTGCCAATGCCAGTGGACAGATGAGCCCTAGCCAGTAAATAGGTAGCTCGTTTTATTTACTTGCACCAGTCAGAATTTCAGCTGAATTAGCCTGAACGATGTCTAAAAATATCTGCTCCATTTATTTCAAAGCTGAATGTTAGATATCAAACTATTAATATCTACAAACACTCAAGTTGCTTTTGTTGTCCACGCTGAGAGATGAGAGTTGTTCAATTCAAGGACACAAAAGAAGCATTAAATAAATATCCGGCTTCAAATACAAATGCACATGAAGGTTTTTGCCTGTAATCAAAAATGAATTCACCAGCACCACTTCCACTGAGATAAAACCAATTTAAAATCAAAAAGGTCAACTTATTTTTGAATTAGACAATTAAACAAATGATTTAATAACCAATTTATGGGTGCCATCGACTTAAATGAGCTTTATTTTACAAACTAAAAGCTCTACAGCCGAATACGTTTTGGGACAGAGCTGGCACAGATAAGASAGCAACAGGAAAGGCACTTTTACAATCAACTGTTTCTGCTTTAATTGCTGCGGTTCCTACACAAAATCCATTCAAAACAGAGGCTTTTGTAACCCGGCACAGCTGAGGCAGAGCAGATTGTCACAAAGGACAGCTCTAAAAATAGGAGCACGGCTTTTCTGCAGCCGAGAGTGGCAGGTTTGTTCTCTCTGCGTTTATCAGCAGGTACGACCGCTCAACCCCTTAAGCTCTTCTCAACCTCATAATCTTTTTTTTTTCATGCTTGATTACTGGAGGACCCCACTGAATTACAGAAAAATATTCATTATGTTGCAGATCTCTTGGTAATACGGCACGTTTCATAACTACAGTTTATGCAGTGAATTGTTAGGTCATATAGCAGCTTTATGGCTTTTTAAATCCATCATAAATAAAAGAAATCCTATTGCTGTCAACACTTAACAAGAGCCACCACGAGCACAGCAGGGACAATAATAATCCAAAGAGCCTAAAGACAATCATTATCATTATCAAGCACATAAATGGAGAAAAAACAGCGCACTTCAATCATCTAAATGGTTGCCATTATCTCAGTTTACTGCCCTATAAGCGACACCAGAGTGATGCTTGTCATTCCTCTGCCATCACCGACGTGATGAGGTTTGCTCTTAACCAAACATGCCGATTTTRCCCCCAAATCAAAGACAAGATAAGGTAGACTGAAGCAGCAGAGTGGGGGAGGGCAGTGTTTTATCAGGACTGTTAATAAGAATTCAATTCATTATGTTGTTGATATTGTGGTAACAGATTTGGAGTGTGGAGCGGCTTTTCCTTTTCATCGTTATCAGCACCCATGCCCGCAAATGGATGGTGTTTATGGAGAAAGTCTGCTAGCAGCTACAGATAGGACGAATGGGGCCGGGGGGGGGACACAGATAAAAATGCCTACCAGCACGAGCACAAACACAGGACGGCTAGAAAGCACAACAAGCGAAAAGACACACAACAAACACAAGAAACCCCACTGTTAGCAGATACAGTACCTGAGGTTTATTGCATTCCTGGAAGCCAAGTTAGGGAGCGAGCCATGAAAAGAAGCAGAGGAGACGAGAGAGTTATCAAACATGCCACTTGCGAGTCGAGGATGTAAAAATACAGCAGGTGAAAGCTTCAGACATGTTTAAATGAGGTTTTCTGTATCACGCTACGTCKAAGATAATCTCACACATACAAGTGAATTATTGCTCTGCAGTGACCGTCTCACAATTCAACAGGCCTGGAATATTTTCTACTTCAATGCACACAGAAGGAGTTTAAAATATTTGCAAAAATAACTAACATTTGAGAAAGCAGTAAAAGCTGATTTACAACTAAAAACCACACTTTCAACTCCATTGATTTCAGTTCCAAATGATAAAGGCATCCACTTACAGTTTTATGACCAACACTTGTGTAATCATGTTTATTACTGAGAAACCAATAATTAGCTGCAGCAGACATTTTATTTAGAAAATACAGCAAAAAATATTTCAAAATGAACAGAAACAGTCAATTATCAATGTTTTGCATTGTTTTGTAAATCTGTGGTTCCCAAAGTTGGGGTCGGGACCCTATTGTGGGTCACAAAACATCAAGTGAGGGTCCACAGATGATTTACAGACATCAATTTAAATGCAAAAAAAATGCTAATAGAACATTTTAACCATCATTATTGCAATTTTTTAATGTTTAAAACAACACATATTGTAGTTAATAAAAATGTTTATATGTTGTTATTCCCATGTTTAACAGAGTTATTAGCAAAGTTTGCATAAGTGAATAAGTAATATCTGGGGTCGCGAGTGTTTGCAACTTTTATTTTGTGGGCCAAAAGCAAAAAASTTTGAAAACCACTGTTGTAGATATATGCTCATGCTTGGCACTAAAATATAAACTTGCAGGGTTTTAGTTATAATTTTGAGGCCTACAAGAATCTGATTCTTATCAATCAGGATATGATGATTTAATTAATGATGTAGCAATAAATAAAGGCGCATAAACACAAATATTATTTGATATTATATATTATTAGATAAGTCAATGCATGTTATTAAAGGAGTTCACAGCTAGTTAAGGGTTAGACCGTAAAATCGTATGAAAGAAACTAAAGAACTGTAATTTTTTTCACTCTATTTTCAAAGAATCGCTGATGAACACAACTATACTCTTGATATATCCAAATGGAACCCAAGTGTACATCTATTTAACATCAGTGCAAAACCAAAGTTTTCTTAACTGAACACTCAGGGGTGAAGTAGAAATTACATTATATTCATTACTGTCATATATTGAACCCATTTTTTCTAGTGCAAGTCAAACAAATCCAATTTGTGGTTTACAATGAGACAACTGTACTGTAAATATAAAAAGGAGCTTTATTTATACAAAGTAATATCTTCACAGATCAAAGATGACATCAGACGCCAACATGTTAATTAAATAACATTTTGTTCAACAATAAATAGGATGAGAGAGAAGGAAACCTAACTATTCAATTAGGACTACATCAAAGTATAAAAGTACTGTCATCCTAATGAGTCTGGTTGTTATTGCTCAAAAGAGCTGTTTTATTATTTTATGGACCCTCACATAACGATGTGTCTAGTTAGGATACTTATTTATCCACTGCTAAGCTAACAGTCAGGACTAGCTTTACGTGGGCTTGTCAAAACATCCACTCCTTAACATGAAAGCTAACAAAAGCATTATCAAAATGTTTTTTGAGGTGAAAAAAAGTGAAAAACCCATTAAAGTTTCAGCTTTTGTGGATGGGATTACTTTCATGATAGAAAATCAATTCATCTTACAGCATGTCTGACAGGTACATTACCAGTCAGAGAGGATGAAGGTTATGTCAAGTAAAATTGTGCTGTGCAGGAAACGACATACTTTTCTTTGAAACAAAGGGAGCCTGGGCCTTCTCTATAAAAACCTTTATTATATAAAACTCTACCTACAGAAAAAAAGGGAGATCAGATCTCTACATGCCTTCAAACAGGGCAGAGAARCTCTTTGTGGCAGCCTTAGTGACGTCTGATAATAAACTATAACCACCAGGCCACCTGGGTGGAGCAAACAGTAAAATAAGTATTGATTGCTTGCCTCCCATTGCTTATAKAATTATACAGCATCTGTTTGGGGTCTTTGGATGGTTCCGCTAGACACCAAGTAAACCCAGAACATGGAAGCTGGTACTACCAATGATGTGAGGACCAACGTGTACTTATGGGGACCTGAACCTAGTCCTCATGAGGGGAAATGCCGGTGGTGGGTCAGGGGCTAGGTTTAGGGCTAAGGTGTCAGTTGAGTTTAGGTTAGTTTTAGGGTCAGCGATGTACCTGTGAGGTTAGTTTTAGGGCTGGTGGTCAGGGTTAGGCTGTAGAAATTAATGAAAGTCAATGCAAAGTCCCAATAAAGATAGCTGTAGAGCAAGGATATTATTAATCTGCAGTGTGTGGAGTATCTTATTGGGCCAGCAGAGTTTGAATGTCATACGTAAAAGGGGGAAAAAATGATAGCGGTCAAATTTTAATAATATAAAAAATTACACATTTTTAATATATAATTTAGTGATGGTTAAGTGGAGATATGTAGCATTTAGTAAAGAGGATGCCTCAGCGGTTGCCATGTTGACATTTCATTTCAGACTGAGTGACAGACAGTATCTGCACAAGGACCTTTAAGTGAGTGGCTCAATGAGAGATCAGAGAGAAAATCTGATTGTGTGTGTGTGTGTGTGTGTGTGTGTGTGTGTGTGTGTGTGTGTGTGTGTGTGTGTGTGTGTGTGTGTGT